GTCTTTATAAATTGGTCCCGGTATTTTTCCATACAGTTTGGGTCATATTAGAAAATACAAGTTATATATAAGCATATTTTGTGATGTTGACATTGCAAGGAATAGCAAGTGCAAAAATGAAATCTCCTGAAATAAGGACTTCATTCTGTTTCTGCTGAACCACGAATCAAGGAGATATTGTGTTCAACATTATAACGTATCGTCAACAAACAGGGACAATTTGGTACAAAAACTTATTGTTCCGTGGTGGGTTTTTGATCAATAAGTCAAAGCCAACAAGTGACAAGGTACTCGTTTAGCAGGAACTTATGGGTGTGTTTTTTCCGTCGGCTGTCCATATCCTAATCTTCTTGCTATCGCAGCTTATTATGAAGATATAATCTTTTATATAAAATATCAGATATGTTTCTTTTGTTCTTTGCTGAAATTGACAATTATTATCCATTTGTTTTGTTATAGTTTGACCATATAAGTTAGCGCCAACAAATAAAACATGCTGAGGTTTTAAAATCAACCTTAAGGCATAAAAAATAACTGTTCTCTCAAACAGAGTTTAAAGGAACTCAAATAACGCATAGAAGAAGGCCCTAATACCTCTTGCAGTTAAAGTAATGAGCATAAGTCAAACTTCCTACAATATCGTATACTTTCTTAATGCATTTACAACAACATGTTATAATAATAAGATATTTTAATTCTTTTTTCTTTTCTCTGTTCGTCATAACATGAAGCAATTCAGGCACAGGAAGTTAACTAAAACGAAACTGAACAAGTAATTCCAGTATATTTTCCTTAAACGATAGTAGGATGTAGACCTTAGTCCCTTACACAAAGACTAATATGGCACTAGGTTTCAAATGTTTTCACATGTCTCAGGTAAATTCATATTAAAAAGATAAGCTTGAAGTTACAAAAATGTTAATTGCTACTATTATAAAAAGATATGAATTTAAATAATTTCACTTGTTCTAACTATGGATGTGACTGTTACATTAGGAGGGATAACTCTTCCACGTGTTCACAATTCGATGAAATATATATTGCTGGGTTTTTTTGTACCACGAAGTTTATTAATTGTGAACTTTTTGAATAATAGATATATTATTAACGTTCTCTCTACAGAACAAATAGTTCATTAAACTCTCGATGCCTAATGTCAGAGATTGGTTGTTGTGGTATTAAGTTCCGTATTGTCCCGGCGAAGAAGTAAATATCAAATCAATCTTTTGATTACTGCTCATGTATCAACAAATTATCGGTTTACACAGATATTTCATATTCGGCATAACAGATAAAATCTAACTATATTGACTTTAAAATTTCAGAATTCAACAGTATTGACCGTCAAAATAGCATCATTTGTGTGCTTTCAATGAGAACATAGAATCATTGTAAAATCGGGCGTTGTATTATTTCGAAGTGTTACATTAGTGAAAAATGATTAGTTCGGAAGATTTTCTTTTTGTTTTTAATATATAAGACAGATACAAGTGGAGAGTTTTGCTAACAACACAAAAAAATATAGTTTATGTGTTTTGAAAATGTTTGTGTGTGTATTCTTTTTAACAATAATAAATGATATCCATCGGATAAACGTTAGCTAGGGGCAAACATAAAGTCTTAAATGTGAAATCAACAGTTGTTAAGCATGAATTACTGTCAGATCATTTGACTCCATTCTAAATAATCATCTCATTATGATTCTGTTGCGATATTTTGTCTTCTCATCTCACGACAATAGACAATAGAAGGGTGAGCATAAATATACCCTTTGTTTTTGCATAATTACATTGTTTGTATTTACATCAATGAACAAGTTATGGAGATAATCACAGATCATCTCGTCGTATCAGGTTGTGATAATTCTCTAAAATTCCATGTAACGGATTAAAACACACACACACACACACACACACACTAGAGAGTAAAGAAACCTTCTGTATCTGATTTGAATGTCGTAAGAGTAGCTTCCCTTTTACTCCTATCAATTTAAAAAGTTTCACCCTAAAATATTTCGGTGTTTTTTTTTAGAAATATGCTGAATGATGTGTTCAGGGATATTTATTCAAATGTAAATATTGCTTGTAAATATGAAAATACCACAATAACTGGAACCTCTGATAATAAAAGTACTTGAATAAGAGATGTGCAAAAGCATTGTCATGTTGTTAAAACAGTTACAACATGCACCATTTTAATTATTTATTTATGTAAGTAATGTTATATGTGTTATGTCATTATTTATTGTTGTTATTAATATTCATGAACATTAAACAGTTGACTATCTCTTTTGGTCTTGTCGTTTCATGTTTTTTAATTGAGTGAAAGACAGTAAAGTTTTGTATTTTGAAGGTTTAAATAATGGTAGAAAAATCACTAGAAATGCCCTAAATGCCTTAAGTTTTAATTTAATTTATTCAGTATGCTGATGCAGATAACCAATCAAAATAAAAAAATATTTACAACACCAAATGACCATTTTGGGCTCAATACTGGTACAAATGAACATCCACGTCTGAAGTAATACAAATGCTATGTAGAAATACCGGGTACGAAAGAAAGAAGAGCATCAGAATTCCTGTACACCGTTAAAGTGTTATTGTTAAAATATATTAATAGATTGGATACAACAGAAAAAAAATTGCACGTTTAATGTAAACCGTACAAGAAAAAATCAGCGATAAAGTTACTGCCAACCTTCGTGACTGATAAATTAATTTGGAGGCACGGTAGTCTATTGGTAGGACGCCGGGCTCGTGACCAAAGGGTTGCGGGTTCGTGTAACGGCACTGTGTTGTATCTGTGTGCTAGAATTGCTGAATGCTAGCTATGGGCGCCGAAATGGCAGCTCCGGCTGTATGCTCCCCAGGGAGTTGAGAAAGATATTACCTGGTTGCAAAGGCCCTATAGCCACGGATAATAATTTGTGAACCGCTTTGAGACGACCTTCTTCGAACTAGGTTGTGATAAAACGGCATGTAAGATTCTGGAATTATTTTTATAATTAATTATTATGATAGTTCATTAGCAGCATATTCGAGTATAAAGATAGCTATCACTTCAGTTCCAAAAGTTGTATTTGGTGTCTTGCTAAATAATCTATTATACAAATTAAAGCAGGTTCACGTCAATTCTGAAAGGAGTGGTTGTCATGTTCATTTCCTTTTCCACTTTTGCATACGCTTCTAATACTTAGTAAATCATATTAGTCATCGCACAAAATAAATATTTCTGGCAAAAGAAATATATACATGAACATTTAGATTGCGTCAGATTCATCCTACGTTTTTAATAATTTACATGGAAAACATATTTGTAAATGATATTGATATGATATTAGACATAAAAGACCAAGTCGGGTAGGAAATAGACATGTTCTACTTTATAACTGCCGATATTCAAGGAATAAAGATGACCGAAAGAGGCTGTCCACTTAAAAAATATTATCAATATAATTATGTATGCCTAGCTGAAAACTATGTAAGAAATGCGGTTCATATATATGGTCAATATTGCCATAGAAATTGGTTAATAGTGACCCGAATTGCAATTGACAAATAGTAACTCTTGGACTGTACACCGAGTTCGAAGAACATCGGTAAAAATGTTGACATGTGAGTTTTGGAAATAGGATCTTCTTCCATAACCTTCAGTTTAACACATCCATGATTTTTACACAAACAATGTACGTATTACACGTGTCGCAACGTTTCAAGAACGACGAGCTTGACAAAGAGACCAGTCGGTCTTGAAACGTTGAGACACGTTTTTAAAATACGTACATTTTGTGCGTAAAAAGTAAAACTTTGATATCACATACATCAAGGGCTTATTATTATGTACACTGTTCCGTCTGAAGTCACCAATGTCGTTGGGAGACAATGACAACAGTGCTTGTATACGACTTGCATTGAGAAAGAATAAGCACATTGTCTATATCGGACATGGCACCTACAAACTCAAATCTTCCCTACCCCCTTGGAATATGTAACGAAGACGAACTTATTGTACACGCTATCTTGCAGATGATACAAGATAGTTTGATCATTTTGTTACGTCAAAAGAATCGCGCTGTAGCATAACGGTAAAAATTGATCAACTTAGAAGTCATTCTGCACTCCTCTATAATCTTCAAATGACAGGTTGTAGCTTAGCAAATAGTCAAGAGTATTTTTATACCTGAAAGAAATACAATTGCTTGCTCCGTGACTTTGATTTTGAAATAATATATTCCAAAGGTGTGGAGATGAATATCAAGAAAGAATCCATGGGATTTTGAAGATGAGATTTAATATCTAACTCCTATTCAGAATCTTCAATTTTTTCATTTGAATGTGGGCACACCCACCCTTTATACAAAATTGAGTGCTCTTGGCCTAAGGTTGCTCCAGAACAAATTTAGTCAAAATCTACTGGGCCATTCAGGACTAGTAGCGTTTTAAAGAAAAACCTGACAGAGGACTGTCGTACAAATGACAAATGGGCGCCACGCCATGACATCAGCTACAGACTTGACTAATCGCTAAGGATGGTACCTGACTTTTGAAAATTACAAAGCTGTGACTCTGGATTTCAAAGCCAGTCAATTTAACCTCTTATGCAACCATGGCCAATAGACTCTGTTAATGTACATCAAAGGATCAAACTAGTTCTTGTCTCGTCCACAAGGTGGCGCCCGCATCAGCCTTCGATTTTGCTATGATATATTCCAGGGGTGCAGAGAGCGAAAGTGAGCGTAACCCCTGGAGTATCGAGGATGGAATCTCCTATTCCGGAGCACCTGGTTATATCTCAGCTGTTTTTGAAGGAGATCAAATAATTATTATTATGATGTCTGGGTATTTTTTCAATTAGTTGAGTGTTTTGTCTTACTCCTTATCAATAGACAGTTTTTACCACAATTTTATTAAAACAGGCCCCGATACAGAAAAAGAAAATCACATGTCTTTTCACATTTAAAACTATGAAATGTGAAAGGAAAATAATCAAAACACAAAATAATCTTGTTTACATATATAATTTATTTATTGTCTGATACATCAATAAACAAGGATACCCTTTCCTCAATAAACCTCATTCAGTAATATAATATATATAAATTAATCAAGAAGTCACTATTTTTTCAACTTTTCTGTCATGACTCATTCTTCATACATGATATAAATGGTCATTCAAATCAATATCTAACGATCATAGTCACTTTTTGTTTTAATCCTACAAACGTTTACACAGCACCAAAACTTAGAAGTCTGTTCACTATAGATATAAATGATACCGCGGACTTAGATTCATCTAATTCCGTGACGATACAACATGTTCAATCTTCTTCACATCTTCAAAATAAAAATCATTAAAATCTCCGCCTACTTACAATAAATAATCCTACATTTCGTGTGTTTATATTTATAAAATGTATGACTATTTCTTGTCCTACAAACAGAATGTAGGAGTATGTATTGCCAACAGACAGAGATCTAGTGATTTATATATTTTTTCATTAATAAAAATTCCTCAAGGATCCCCGTCCCACTGTACTGTCTTTTTGCATATATATACAATCTGTATACAATAAAATCCTCTTAGTTTCGTATTGAACATAGCTGAAGTACAGTCAGGCAAGGTTGATTAGAGTATAAAAATCTGAAGTTCAGAGTTCGAGTCCCAGTCAAGCCCAGCATACTTTTTACACTCACAACACTGTTGTTGATGTATTCATTGTTTATTTCATCTCTGTTATTCGTAATAAATTTCCCTGTATGCTATGGTTTTCTTTTCAGAAATTATTTATCAAAGCTATTGACATGTCAGAAAAAACAGTCACTAATGCATAGTTCAAGTTTTCGGTAGCGGTACGGGGATCCTAAATTGTTTTTTTCCCTTTAAAGTAAGTTTAGACAACCTTTGAAAGGTTATGAAAATAATCCTGAATTTGAAGATGCAAACAGGAAATGCAGCTTTCTGCCAGAGTTTATGCTCATCTTTCAATTCTGCTTTACATGGTCTTGAAATTATTCCAGCAAATCAACTCAACACTGATGAAAGCTCAGGGTAAGCTCAAAGACCGGTAAAGAAAACGTAATAAACGTGATTTATCTTGCATTTCATTTTTTATAGCATTAAAATATAGAAGTTAAATACACCCTTAATATCTACAGTCTAAATGCATTTAACTCTGTTTTTTTATAAAGAAACAATATTTTAAACAAATCAGTGTCATCTCAGTCTAAAATGATATATATACAATTGGACTAATTAAATTGTGATACATTACTTGAATACAATATTAGCAAAATCAGATAATAATACATAAAACAAAACATGAACAGTTTGTTTTACCGATTTAGTTTTTAATGATTTCTTTGAAAGAATTTAAAAAAAAAAAAAAAAAAATTATACAAGATATAGATGCGTCTGTGGAATTAGTGTTCCCCATTTATTTGAGTAAGCAACCAACTCTGCTTGTTTAAATCAAAACTGCTATATTATATTAGAGATATGTTATTCTTCAATATTTATCCTGCAATACACCAAGTGTGACACATAAACTCCGACTCATTACAGCTTATTACAGGACCACGAAAATGTTGGCATTTTACTATTTACTATGATAATTGCAACTGATCTTAGGTGGGCTTATTACCAGGCATGGGCTTATTGCCGGATAAATACTGTAATGACCAAAAATGCACTAAGTCTGTATTCAGGAGAGTGGTAACACATCAAGAAAACATCAATAAATCGTTTTTCTGACTAGCATATTATTTATAGACTAATGACCCAATCTTCATTCAATTATACAACAACAACAAAAACAAAAAATCTTCAAAATTCCGTGGATTAGCTCTATTACGATCTTTGCACCCCTGAAATATTTCCTGATGAAATTGAAAGCCCTGTACGTACCACCCTGTGGACGATACAGGTAGGCTAGTTTGATCCTGTACATCAAAAGAATCGCGTAGCACCATGCGGTAAATTTTGACTAGCTCTGAGGTCAGGTGTTGTTCCTCTGTAATCTTTAAAGGACAAGTCCCAGCCTACTGATTGGTCAGGTTTTTAACTATCTTAAAGCCATGCGCCTTTGATTTTGTCTTGCCATATTGCAGGTGAGAAAAGAACGTAAGAGAGCATTTCCTCTGGATACCCTTTCACCACTATAGACCATAATGGACTCATCCAGATCAATGCATGGTAGAGTCTACTAAAGTTGGTGAAAGGGTTAAATGTACAATATACAGTGATTTAGATCAAATATAGCTTCATTTGTATCGCATAATATTATATACAATCATCCGTGTATTATTACAACTATCGTGTAGGAAAGTTTCACAATGGAGACCAGTACCAATTCAATGTCATTGACGATTTATTACATTTTAACTAATTCATGTTTGGACAAAGATTGTATCATCTTTGTGAATACAACTATTAACTTTGTATTTTTTTGTGAATACCTTTAGCTCATTCATCCCCTGGAGACGCATTTGAACTCTTCCAATGCAAAGGTTAGAATAGTTCATTATGACATTTCAGGGGTGAATGAGTTAAGGTAAAACACCTCTGTGTCATTTGTTCTGATCTGCTCTTAATACATTATATGCAGGAAAATATGAAAATTATAGTCAAGGATACAAACAACAACAAATAATGGATTTCTAATTTTTTTCATGAAACTTCAAAATAATTTCACTTTTTCTAGTAGAATAAATCCTCTATCATAACATATCATAGAGAAAGCTTCAAACCAATATTTAGAAAAAGTTCTATTAACCATTGGTTTGTCATTGTTTTATGTCCTAGTAACAACCATGGTCATTTAAGGATGTACCACGGGCCTGTTCGTTTATGCGGAACAAACGGTTTGACTGTCTTTAAATGTAACATTCTCGGGTCTAAATTCTGGCGCACCTGCAAATGCTTATGCAAGCAATGCAAGGCTTTGTCAAGGCTCGCCTAAAAGCAGCATCAGATTACCAGGTCAGACCTAATTTATTAAACCAACAACTATGCCCACCGGTTCAACCGTTTAAACAAAAAACGGACCTTGTTATGGTTGTGGGGGGACACTGGAGTTCCCGTAGAAAAAGCTGGGACTAATAGTATTAGTAATACCTGGTGATTGCCCAACTTAGGTCTCGAACAAAGGACCCATTGGTGGAGGGCTAGTGGTCGTAGTCGGTCAGACACCTTAACTACTTGCCCAGCGTGCCCCTCCTATTAAACAAGTTCATTCCAAAACAAACAATTTACCCTGATATTCGATAGGAACATCAACAGAAAATAACCAGAATAATGCAATTACCACACATATTTATGTACTTAAATGATGAATAGCAGACCCATTTTTTTTGCTAATATATATATATACATCTGCAAATCGGAATGTATTATGTCGGCACACAAGTTGTTGTGTACAAAGCAATTAATATCATAATTATAACTAAATTATTATCTTTTTTTCTTCTAATTAACCTGATTCTGTAATAAATGTGATGAATTTGTGATAAATCAATTAGGCAGACATCACTTCGGCAAAACCCAGTTCTTTTTCTTTCCATAACAAATACTATTTTCAATGTACCTTTGATGCACTGCACTTAAAACAATAAATTTGGAAGCACACTTTTTGTCCTGGTTTTTTCACATAACATCAAATTGAGAAAAAATCATCTCATTCATAATTGCGTATAAACGTGTACTGTTCATCAACAATAACAGATGGATCTAGCATAGGATTATAATGATATCATAACCTGCTATTAAGAAAGATTTAGTTTGATTTGTTTGTGTTTTACGTTCTATTACCAGCTATGGTCATTTAAGGACGTGCCAGGAGGTGGTGGAAAGCCAGAGTTCCCGGAGAAAAACCACTGACCTACGGCGCGTACCTGGCGACTGCCACACATACACCTCAAACCCGCGACCCAGTGGTGAAGAGCTATCGGGCAACCCATATATTTAATTCTGTAATAGCTCTTGATCTAGATTAAAGAAATATATGTCCCGTGATTACAATTTGTCTATAATTATCTACTGTTATTGATTTTTTTGTAATTCTAATTCTCCATTATGTTTAATCACATCACAGATGCATTTCCATCCATCTATTAGTTTCTTTCTCTATAAAAACTAATATTATTTTGATAATAATATCATGTGTACAAAAAAAAAAAATATTAGAAAAAACAAACATTAACATATTCTGTGAATTCTCACTTTCTAGACACATTTCATACAGTCCACATTCATTAAAGTAAGCATAATGCACGAAAAGATGGTCATGGAGGAATGATCCCGAAATTTAAACGACCATATCGTAACGTGATGAAAGCACTTAAGATTTTGGTGATGAAAGAACCTCAAACTATTTTCTTCTTCACCACGTCCAATGGAAACGGTAACAATCTTCACGATGAATGCTTGCATTGCACGTTTTTTCATCTACCTCACTATATGCGATGAACAGCAATGTGGCGACGGGACTAGGACTAGGCCTTGGCCGAGACGAGACCCGGCGCATCTTTGGGTGTGGTGTCCTGTAACTGTCGACCGAGGTATTCCCTGCAAAACACACGACAAACGTTTTACCACGTACATTTAACCAAGCAATGTTTTGTAACAAAAGGTATTGTATTTCCTTACTTTGTACACAACATGTTACTAATTATAGTCTTCATGGACCTGTGCTCAAAAAGATCATCGATTTGCTTGGTCTGCCATCTTGAAAAGACAGTATTTTCTTCAAATACGTTTTTTGTACACAGAACTTGAAGACATATGAACATACAAGTATTTATTCTGAATGAATCATTAATGAAAGATGCAAAATAGAAAGTTTTGTTGTATATGAGTTCATTAGCCAATAAACCTAAAGTTAATAAAATAAATCAAAATAAACGAAGTTGGCAAACACCATCGTCTATCAATAGATGCAAATAATGTATATGGTCACCTAAGTTCTCTGCAACCCTGGAATATGTTATGACAAATTCTAAGGCACGCAGCTACATTTTAATATTCACCTGTCCTTTAAAGATTACAGACGAACCCCGAATTTTAAGCTGGTCAACTTCACAGTTATGTTGCCACATAGTTCTTTTGATGTAAATTAAAGGATACACCTAATATACTTGTATTATGCACAAAGTGGTAAGTACAGAGCCTTCAATTTTGTCATGACATATTACAGGCGTGCAGATAATACAAGTACTCCAAAACATCAATTACATCAGCTAGCCTTAACTCAAACTGTAGTTAGTGTTCATTGTAATGATATGGATTGTACAGTTATCAAAAACGTATAGACTATAGCTGAGGTGAATATTTGGTGATAAATAGAGAAAGAGATATTGACCGAGAGGAAGTTGAGGTCAATATCACAATAGCTTACCAACGACTTACCGTAACATTTCAGTTTTGTATTTTTCAACGAAAAATTGAATTCAAAACAAAAACTGACATTTAAGGATTTAAAATGATCATCTAATTAATGACAATAAAACAAAAATATTTGAAAATGTTTTGGTAATTTCAAAAAATCATGTTTTAAAAATTTGCGTTAAGCTAACCAGCCTTTCAACAATGACTCTCTTTTAACATTGTATATACTTACCAGTTATGTACCATAAGTTTCTGCACCGCAATCAAAGCCTCAAACCTCACGTTAGGATCGTCGTGGGATAGATACTGCATGACTAGCTGCTTACCTCCAAGTTGTTCTATGACACTGCAAAAGAAACCATCAGTTTATCATTGATTGTTGAATAAAGAGAAGTTTACAGTCAACTGTTCAATAATATGACAAGTTTACCTTAAACGACAAGTTTATCATTGATTGTTCAATAACCTTAAACGACAAATTTATCATTGATTGTTCAATAAGAATAAGTGTATCGTCTACTGTTCAATAATATGAACAGTTTACCATCAACTGTTCAAATAAACAAGTTTATCATTGATTGTTCAATAAGAATAAGTGTATCGTCTACTGTTCAATAATATGAACAGTTTACCATCAACTGTTCAAATAAACAAGTTTATCATTGATTGTTCAATAAGAATAAGTGTATCGTCTACTGTTCAATAATATGAACAGTTTACCATCAACTGTTCAAATAAACAAGTTTATCATTGATTGTTCAATAAGAATAAGTGTATCGTCTACTGTTCAATAATATGAACAGTTTACCATCAACTGTTCAAATAAACAAGTTTATCATTGATTGTTCAATAAGAATAAGTGTATCGTCTACTGTTCAATAATATGAACAGTTTACCATCAACTGTTCAAATAAACAAGTTTATCATTGATTATTCAATAAGGATAAGTTCACCGTCAACTGTTCAATAACATGAACAAGTGAAATTAGATTCAGTTTTTGATGTTCTATAAATAGTTACAATCACTTTGATCTTGATACCCTGAAATATGTGGGCATTGATCATTGAACCCTGATACACAAAAATGATGTCTGAGGTATTCTGTTTATAAACTTGCATCAAAATCAGTTAAGAAATGAAGTAACTAGAGTGATGACACGAAATTGGCTGATGATTTTTTTTATAAATAGCAACCGTGACCTTGGCCTTGACCTTGGAACCCTGAAACTCAACGATGTAAGAGGTATATAATATACTCATACTTTTGCATAAAGTGAAAGAATGCAGTTGCTAGGTGTTTACACGGGACGGGACAGACATGGGCAACACTATATGCCCCCTCTTTTTATGGCGGGGGCATACAAATATGATGTTCAGTACAAATGTACTTACAATGTACAAAAGTAATGCTGCATCTCCTCAATGACTTTTCCTGCGAGGGGTAATCCAAATCATCTGAAGTAGTACTTTACCCATGATATTGCAGTACTTACTTTTTACCTCTGGGGTAGTATCGCACATACTCCCCTAAATCATGGGCAGACACGGATAAGATGAGGGGGTCTTTGCTGTCACTCAATAATCTGACTAAAATCCTGAAAGAAAAAGTGAATTCCATGAAATCTGCTGCAAAATATTGTGTAAAAACTGCAGATTTTCACATGTGGAAATGTTCGCATTATGATTCTTTATTCTGAACAAGCTGTGGATATTTCTGCACTGGCAAAGGTTCTGTAATGCATATATGTCAAACAATCTATTTTACATAAAGGATCTGTCATAAGTGCCCCTTTACATATTAGATTTATGATACAAGTTTTGGATTTTTCAAGTTTGCAAGCCTCTGGCGAGCAAATTTGTAAAATCCAAAACGAGTATCATTAATGTAATATGAAGGGAAACGAATAACAGAATCATATAATACAAAGTAAACTGTATAATTGTGATCTGAAACGAATAGTTTGCACTTGGCCGCCCTCTCAAATGATGAAAATTGCGTCCGCTTCACAATGACGTGACGTCACATTGATTGTTCCTATTCGATTGTGACGTCATTTCCGGAGTGATATCACACAAGGTACATAAACATAATTTATGTGATGGCTTTATGACACTGCATAACACGGTACTCATATGATAAATATAAATTATCTTTCGGTGTGGATATTTAAATGCTGATTTACTCAACACGTAATATGGGAGCACACCCACACACGCAAAAAATTAACAATTTTACAGTATATACTTATTCTAAAAGTGGAAATTGCCTGATGAACTTATTAATTAAGAGGTGAAAACACTACGAAGCTTCTAGGACACTCTTTTTGTTTTCTTTTTATAAATATATTTTTCAATGCTTCTAAATCCAAATGAATATTTGTTCTCTTGCTTCAATGAAACCTGTCAAACCTGACCCTTGAGTAATTTGACGTTTCCTTTTAATTCTACAGAATGATATTTTTCGATTCTCATTAAAAACTACCAAAGAAAACCTGTACATTCCAACATTCTGCCTTTTCTGACCATTATGGTGTTCATCTCACAGCCATCAGAATGGACAGGTTAATCTGACAAAAATTGTGTGTCCCACAATGTCAGAATAGACAAGTTAATCTGACCAACATTGTGTGTCCCACAATGTCAGAATAGATAGGTTAATCTGACCAACATTGTGTGTCCCACAATGTCAGAATAGACCAGTTAATCTGACAAAAATTGAGTGTCCCACAATGTCAGAATAGACAGGTTAATCTGACCAACATTGTGTGTACCACAATGTCAGAATAAACAGGTTAATCCGACCAACATTGTGTGTCCCACAATGTCAGAATAGACCGGTTAATCTGACCAACATTGTGTGTCCCACACTGTCAGAATAGACAGGTTAATCTGACAAAAATTGTGTGTCCCACAATGTCAGAATAGACAAGTTAATCTGACCAACATTGTGTGTCCCACAATGTCAGAATAGATAGGTTAATCTGACCAACATTGTGTGTCCCACAATGTCAGAATAGACAGGTTTATCTGACCAAGATTGTGTGTCCCACAATGTCAGAATAAACAGGTTAATCTGACTAACATTGTGTCCCACAATGTCTGTATAGACAGGTTAATCTGACCAAGATTGTGTGTCCCACAATGTCAGAATAGACAGGTTAATCTGACCAAGAGTGTGTGTCCCACAAGGTCAGAATAGACAGGATAATCTGAACAATATGCTGTTTATAATAATATGTATCTAGTTTGCATGATAAGACCGAAAAAACAGATTCAAAGCTCAACGAATCTATGTATATATATATACATTATTCTTATACATGATAGTCTGAAGAATCTCCTAGAAGAGATGAAAGTACTAAAGTCTCGTTGTTAAGAATTTTTCTTTATATAATATTTATTTGTCTGTAAGGTTCATTTTTCTGATTTATAATATATATATATATATATCCTGTGTCTAGGAAATCTTACTGTTAAGTAGCATACATATTTTAGCAGTATTCTATTCATAGCGTTTCCCTAATTATAAATATTGCACTTAATTATGAATGCACTATTTTTAGGTTCCTGAATATAGTTTTCTTTTGCATAATTATGTAAATAGTATGCTAATTCATCAATGTGCTGATCAGTAAAAAAAATTATAATGTGCTAAAAATTGTAGTCCGCTAAATGTGTACTTTTACAGTATTCAATTCTATTTAATTCCAGACAGAAGTACTTACTTGAGAAGTTCGTAGTTTTTCTCATTGAGTCGAGGGGCATTTTCTCTCCAGAAACGTTCTGATTTGTGTACTGGGCTCCACTCCAGCCTTCCTGACTTCACTTCTGAGCAGTACTCGTCAAACGAACTGTGTGAAACAAGAGAAGGAATACTCTAATCTAGTGCAAGTCAAACATTCTGTAGAATGCTAGCTGTGAGCGCCGAAATGGCAGCACCGGCTGTATGCTCCCCAGGGAGTCGAGAAAGATATTGGCTGGTTGCAAAGGCCCTATAACCACGGTTATTAATTTGTGAACCGCTCCGAGACAACCTACGGTATTTAAGGACCTCAAATTATTATTTATTATCTAGTAGTTGATATTTAATGTACTAGCTGCCAGCTACCAGCAAGAAATCATGATTCTTTACATATTTGACTTTTTTTACCTTGAAAGTGGGCCAGGTCATTTTTTTTTCTCAAACATTGTTGGACTCTATCAAAGGAAGCAACCAGCCAAATATCATGACTCTATGCCTTTTGTTCTTCAGAAGAAGTCGTTTCAAGTTTTTGACATATTTGACCACTGTGATATTGTAGGTCAAGGTAATTTTTGCTTGTCTCCTTCAAAAGAAGCAACCAGCCAAATATGAGTGTAGGCCTTTTGGTTCTCCAGAAGAGGTTGTTTAAAATTTTTGACTTATTTGACCACTGTGACCTTGAAAGGAGGTAAAGGAAGCAACCAGCCAAATATCATGACTCTAAGTCTTTTGGCTCTCCAGAAGAAGTTGTTTGAATGAAAAGCTGGCGATAGATGGGCAATGGACGACGGACGCTGCACCAGGACATAAGCTCACTTGACTATTTGGGCCAGGTCAGCTAAAAAATAGGGACCACCAAAACCTTTTCATATAAAACAGTCCTGTACATCTTGTAAAACGTACCTCAGATCCTGCACAGACTTTTGGAGGGTTTCATTAAGGTACAAGATGTCGTCCACGATGTCTGGGTCATCAAACTTCCGTGAGTCCAGCAGCTCAAGCTGTTTGAGAACCTTACACTGTACCATGGCGAGGGCATGCTCCTGAACCATTTCTGTCTCCTCTGGCTTCTCCAGCAGGTTCTGTCATAAAAACACCAGGTCAGATTAGTTAGAAGCACAACATACAATCAATAGATCTAGGTTACATTGGGGTATCCTGGTTGAAACGGTTCAGGTGGCGCAGAAATATTCCATGATAAACGAACGCACTTGGACTGATCTATATAGGCAGAGCTAAAAAATGTGCAGTTTCAGAAAGTAAATAACAATATATCAAGATTAATATGTCCTTCTTTCAGGCGTCCACTAAATTATATAACGTATCTTAAAATCTACATGTGGATTGACCTTGATTTATAAAGAAATAACTCAAACTAGCAATAGTCAGCATTTTAGTTTCGGTCAGGCACGTCTGGACCCCTCAATATACATGTGCCGAATATTCCTTAGATCTGCGCCTGTAGATTTCTTTCAGGTTCAAATATTTCAACTGTCAAAAGTCACTCAAAAGTCGATAAGTCACATGACCTGTCGAAATGTCAAATTGATATGTCAATAGATCAATAGGTCATTTTACACGTCTGTATAATGTACACATCATGGAAAATCTTCATATCTTCATCCAGTCAAACTTTTGCCCATCGCCAGTTTATACTACCCCAGTGGTAATTTTGCCCTTCACATTTAACCCTTTCACCCCTATGTAACTTTAGTAGACTCTACCATGCATTGATATGGATGAGTCCATTATATTCTACAGTGGTGAACAGGTTAATTACTATGTTTTGTGTATTCATTCTGTTAAATTCGTTCTCATTACAGCATGCAAAAAAGGCAAAATTTAACACTGCAGCGAAAATTTCCTGGTATACAGTTATACTTCAGGTTGAAATTAAAGGTCACATGGATTTTATAATAAGGTTATAGGTCAAAAGGTCACAGACATATAACACTACTGGAGAAACCATGAAATTACCATGAAAATCCCATCAACCCATGAAAACATGCCATGAAGTGATATTTCAATATTTTTCATGGGGCCATGAAAAAGATGTTTTATGTTCAACAGTGCCAATGAAAAATTGTATTTCATGGCCAAGGTTTGGAAGGAAACTAACATCAACAGAAAAGCTTTAAATGGTGGGCCTTAAATTATTGTATCACTTACCCTGAAAACTGCAAGGATAATTCTTGATACTTTTTCCTTCACATTTTCACTGAGAATGTCGGCCAGAGTTGGAATGATGCTGTATCTGTAAAATACCAGTTTTCATGTACTAAAAACACAACTCTGTGAGATCTTTTCTTTGTCTTCTACTACTGAAAAACTGGAACACTGTTTTCCCCACCTCTGCCTATGCAAGACACGTGTGTACAGAGCCTTGGGTTAGACAACCATATAGATCACCCCTTGTGTTGGAGATTTTGTTGTTTTCACACCCTCAAGGCAGGGGAAGATTCTACTAATCTCTCATGACTGCACTCGATTACCACCAATTCAGTAACTACATCGTTTAAAATCCCGACTACGGGTTGCATGAACGCAAACACTTGAGTTCAAGATATTCAGTACCATTAATTTTGTCAGACGTCTTGAAATATGCCGGTCAATTCAATGTGATACAAAGAGGTTTTCTAACAAGCGATGATTGATTATCGTCTTTATCTAACTCAGGTTATACAAAGGATATATAAGATGGAGCATCAACGTCTAGATTCTGTGTTTTACTCACGGTTTACATGTTTCGACTAGCTAGGCAAGAAGTCATCAAAACCACGAAATTTAGTTGTTGGTGCTCCATCTTATATATCCTTTGAAATCATTTTCCGCGATGGAACTCTACTGAATACCGTTACATGTAGGTATCCATCTCCGATTCCTATTACCACCAACTTTCGACCATCATTCACCAGGACATTGGTTCTCCTCCACTCCGACAGGAGCCCTTGTTTAACCTTAGTCAGTTTATTTTCAAATTAGATAAAGACACTAGATTTACTGGGTGTCTTTATACAATTACAAAATTAACTAACAAAAGTTACAGATAAACATGATTACCAGTCACCAAAAGTTGGCGGAACTTTTTCTCCCACATTATTTAAATATTGTTTCTAGACAAGAGGCCCAATGGGCCTGCATCGGTCTCCTGCTATTGATCTCACATTTGTAACCTTAAAAGTGAACTAATATAAAGATTCAGGCAAAAGTTGGTCAAAGGGTTAGACACATTTGACCATATGTGACCTTGAAAGTTGGTCAAGGTCATTCACATGTACAAACTTACAAGCTACTGGCATAAAATCATCACCCTAGCCATTTTGGTTATTCAGAAGAAATTATCTAAATGTTTTCAACACATTTGACCCCAGTGACCTTGAATATGGGAGTAAATCATTCACTTAGACAAACCCTGAAGCTCTTTATCTGATTGTAACTGGCCACATATCATTATGCTAGGCATTTTGGTTATTCAGAAAAAGTTTTTGAAGTGTTGAATATATCAATATAGGTTACAAAACATGTTTCATGTTTCATAATTGCTGTAAAACATATTAAGTTTACAACTTGAAAGCAATTCATCATCTATTACTGCATTGACACTTACTTGTTCATCTTTTCAGCTAACACATGGTTAAAGGTCAAACACCATAGGCAAAATGTCAACTGGTACTGGATCTGGAATCCCACCTTGCCAGCAAGGACCATAACGATACTGAAATGGCAAAGGATGTAAGATTAAGTTCAAAGGTCATTGTCAAAGGATATAAGATTAAGTTCAAAGGTCAAATGTTGAATATTGGTTAATTGGGGCTATGTTAATTTCTTGGTGCAGATTTTTTCCAATGCGCATGCGTTGTTTCCCTACCATAGCAACAAAGCTGCGTTGCTATGCAGAAATAACCAAAATATGGTGTTTTCGGACAGTTAGCATGCAGAAATGAAAGCCTCTGCATGTAACAACCAAAAATTCCTTTCTACCAATGAACACTGGTGTGACAATGTTTAAGCAGGTCAAATATTATTTTGTTTATTGCATGCAGAGGCTTTCAAAAATTGAAGATGGTTTAGTTAATTTCCTTCAAAATGGCCAATATTCAACCAAAAAGATGCACAACAGATAATATTCACGCATTTTATTGCAAAAATGCAGGTTTAGTCTATCTTTGTCACGCCATAACTCCTAAACCAGTTGTCGAATGAATTTGAAATTTCATACTTGCATACTTGATATATTCCAGATTATGCATATAACAACTAATTCTAAATCTCTGATAAGGCGGCAATGACCTCTAACGCCCTTATAAATTTGACACTAATTTTGATGCTATGTTCATATAATTCCTGTATGGTAACAGTGGTGAAGTGAAGGCTTTGTAATGTACAGGTTCCCGTTTTGACCCCTGCATGAGTTTTCTACTTTTATTATTTTTTATTTCTATTTTCAAAAATTCAATCACCTTTCGATCAACAACAATTCTGTCAAATTCATGGCAAGATGTTAATTTTACGACATATTTCTTATAAAAAGGTCTGAAACAAATATTTTACATTAGTGACACTGGTTATGATATTGTTAAACTTGTTGGTATCATTTACCTTAACTGATTTAGATATTTTAAAAACATTCAAATTATCTTAAACATAGAGGCAAAATTTGCCTATTTACATCATTTACCTAACTCAACTTAACTTAAAAGTGTTCAAATCTGGCAACCAAACAAGCTTAATCAGTCATTATTTTTATTTTTTTCAACGAACTGTTGACCTCTGGAACAGCCTGTCCCCAGAGATGATGTTATCAAGAACTATCAAATCTTTCGAGTCTTGCCCAGACCATCACTGGAGAAACCAGCCGATACTCTATAATTATAGAGTACTAATTTTATTTTCCAGCCGTTGTTAAATATATGAAATCAATAAACTTTCTGATGATTAATAATCAAATTAATGTTGTGAACACTAATTACTCTTAATTTGGAATTTATGTATAATTTACTTTTTTCACTAGTGATTAATGTTATTCAAATGTCCATGGTCTTGTCTCAGAATTTGTTGAAACTGTATTGAGCTGACAGCAGAGGATTGTTTTAAAGTCCTACAGTCAGAATAAAATCTGTGTATCTGTTTATGAAATAATTTTTTTATAAACTATCAAGGGAGACAACTCACGTTGATATGCCGTCCACATCCACAAACACCTGTCTGTACATATCAACACGCAGCATCATCTGTAGACACCTGGCAGCCGTCTGCATGTATTCGTTACCAGGCTGTCGGAGCTGATCCTTCAGCCAGTTCAGATAGAACTTGAGATCCTCCGCCCCCATAGACTCTTTACTCCAGCAGGCGATTTTAGCAATGATCCGACTTGTCTGTGGATATACAATAGAGGAACCTGATTATTATGATATTCTATTTGCCAGAGAAAATGCTTATTATTATTATCCAGGTAATTATAATTACCCGTACATACATGTAGGTTTCAACCTCTGAAACCTCCAATGAGGAAGATCTCCCTCATTCCACATTTCCATTGAGGGAGATCTCCCTCATTCCACATTTCCATTGAGGGAGATCTCCCTCATTCCACATTTCCAATGAGGGAGAAAGTGCATGAAACGCGACTAAAGCTACATTGCTCAATTTATCTTTCTCTTTTTATGTATCAAAATAACTCCAAAAAACATTCATTTGATTCAGACACACCTATTATGATCATTACACACACAACCTGCAGTAACTAGACCATTTGACCACAGGATGTAGATTTTGAGATTGTGTGAGTTTGGACTTGAATGAGGGAGTTTCGAGGGAGATTGATAAATTTTGGTCAAAATGAGGGAGTCTTCCTCTTAATGAGGGAGGGTTGACAGTTATGTTAAATAAATCATGAAGCTATTTTTGATTGTTTAAAGGCCGTCTGAACCAGAAGTGAGATACCTTATGTATACTTCAAATATAGAAGGAGGAATGGATCCCAGTATCACAGTCTACTGCCAAACAAACTTAGCTTTGCATTGGAAACATTTTACACATTTAAAATGACTTTGGCAGTGATTTGGTTTGTCTGCATGTCATTTTCTACTTAATGTCATATTCTGCTTAATGTCATGCTCTGCTTAATGTCATGTTCTGCTTAATGTCATGTTCTTATTAAGGACCCATGTACCACTGCCAAAATCTGTAATTACACATTGGAGACTGTTTTTTTCCTAACATGACTAGTTTTGATAAATCATTTCTGAAAAGAAATCTATACCTTATAGGAATTGTATGAAAAAATAATAAAAGTGAAATAATCAAAAAATAATCAGCAACATTTTTCGGAGTGTAAAATTTCAGCTTGTGGTAGTGAATTTGAACCCTGGATTTCAAGTTGTGATGCTATGGCTGTCACCAACTGAGCCGTCTGGTCAAAAGAAGTCATACTCGCCAACTCTCCCTAGTTAGGAGGGAGACTCCTGCTTTTGGACCCGTAAATTTAGTGTTTTTAACCAGTGAATTTGCTAAACTATTTCTATATTCTAAGATCTTATGATTTCTTTTGAAAGAACAACTCAAAGTATGTCATTTAAATGTGTTATTTTGTCTCTAGGGGGTAAATACACACACTTTATTTTTGTTTTGATTTTGAGCAAGCAGAATCTCCCCGTCGAAATTTCAAAAAAGTTGGCAAGAATGATAAGGGTCTTGGCCAAATTGTGCTACAGTTATCCAAAATAAAATTAAAGGGAGGTAACTGTATATTTGAATAACCAGAGGTTGTGGGACAAGGATCTTAAGTACACAGTGCCAAATATTCCTAAGACATATAAGTGGTAGTAGACTAAGCAGAATCGCTAAACATTTGTAACAGGAAAGAGAATAGCGTGCTTCCACCGGGGATCGAACCCGCGATCTCCAGGTTCCTAGTCGGACGCTCTACCACTGAGCTAAAGGGACAAGCACCACAACCTTGGTTCTAACTCCCTGTCACTACAGGGAGGGCCATGAACACCATTTGTAACAGGAAAGAGAGTAGCGTGCTTCCACCGGGGATCGAACCCGCGATCTCCAGGTTCCTAGTCAGCCGCTCTACCACTGAGCTAAAGGGACAAGCACCACAACCTTGGTTCTAACTCCCTGTCACCACAGGGAGGGCCATGAACACCATTTGTAACAGGAAAGAGAATACTAGTAGTGTGTCCACCGAAGGTCAAACTCACGATCCCCAGGTTCCTAATCGGACGCTCTACTACTGAGCTAAAGGGAAATTCTCTCTAGCTCGAAGCTAGAAAGCCACCTTAACCCTATGTACAATTAAAATCTGTCACACATTGTATTTATGCTGATGTACTCTAGAACCTCAGTGCAGCTTACACAATGACAGAAGTAGAAAAGTTCCTGCTGATGAGACGGTAGTACAACGTAGCTAGATAAGTATGGGCATTGAGAAACTGGAGAAAGAACTTAAGAAGAAAGTGAATGTACACTTACTTGATACACGATGAATCTGTCGTCCCTGTTGAGTAAGTGCAGGAATGGAGTCCACACCGACTCCTTGCTGCGTTTGGCATACCCTTTGAATATATCCACTCTAGATTTATCTTCCTGTTAACACAATGCAAAGTGAAAGTAAAATTACTGCTTAAAAAGGAAAACTTATCATCATGAGATTTCATCGAAGCTTTTCATATTCATCTTCTTGTAGTAACACCATAATAATATAAGGATCAAAATGTCAAAATAGTCTAAACTTACTGAAAAACAGGTTTATGAAAAAAGATGAATTCCTTATAAGACTGAGCCTGGTTGGTCTTGAACCAGACGCAACCTCTGCCAGGTACAGGCCTCACACTAGCTTAAACCTCTGTCTTGTCTCGCAACGGACTACATGACTTTATGCAGTCTCACATCAGACTAATTAAGCCACTGTACTTTGTCTGATCTCATATTAGACTAAACCTATGTCTAGTCCCACATCAGACTTAGCCACTGTTTAGTCTAATATTTTACAAAGCCTCTGTCCGATGTCATATTAAACTTTTTTTGATTCACATAAGATTAAGGCTATTTTTGATCTCATGTTAGACTCAGCCTTTTTCTGATCTCATATTGAACTTAGCCTTTTTTTTATCTAACATTATACTAAGCCTCTTTCTGATCTCACGTTAGACTAGGGATCTGTCTGGTTTCACATTGGACTAAGCCTGTTTTGATCTCATATTACACTAAGCATCTTTCCGATATCACATTATACCTATTTCTGATCTCATGTAAGACAAAGCCTCTTTCTGATTTCACATTAGGTTAAGCTCTGATCTCATATTTGACTAAGCATATTTCTTATCTCATTTTAGATTAAACCATTTTCTGGTCTCAAATTAATCTAAGCCACTAGTACTGTTTACTATTGTTTACTTTCACAGTAGACTAAACAAATTTTCTGGACTCAAATTAAACTTCTTTCTAGTTTCACATTAGACCAAACCACTTTCTGTTCTCAAATTTAACTTCTGTTTAGTTTCACATTGGACTAAATCGCTTTCTGGTCTCAAAATATACTAGTGTTTAGATTCAAACTGGACTAATTATTTTCTGGTCTCAAATTATGCTTCTGTTTAGTTTCACATTGGACTAAATCGCTTTCTGGTCTCAAAATATACTAGTGTTTAGTTTCAAACTGGACTAATTATTTTCTGGTCTCAAATTAAACTTCTGTTTAGTTTCACATTGGACTAAACCCCTTTCTGGTTCCCCGCTCACCTGCAGAACGTCATCCAGCATTGTAAGGATGTACTGTAGTGTCTGGTCCTTGGCAATCTGGCTCATCAGGTTAAAGAATGTCTTGGCAAACTGGAAAGAAATACAAGAAATTTAATTGCAGTATGAGATGAGCATACAAATTTTCATTCAGATGACGATTTTTGAATAAGTGGGTGGTCGATGGTGCAGTGGATAGCACACTTGCCTTTCACCAAGGCGGCCGGGTTCGACTCCCTGATCGTACACAAAAGGTATGGGTCATCTGCCCGACTATGTGGGTTTTCTCCGGGTACTCCGGCTTCCTCCCACATTAAGACACACCCCCCCCCCCCCATGTTCTAACATCCGGGCCAACAAGAGTGATTAATATAAGGTGAACTAAATTGTTTCATAATTGTTGTAAAATAAATTGATTTCATATTTATATTTGAATAGATATTTTCATATAAACAGTTTAGTCTTTCATTAATATAAATTACTGCCCGGTGTTTCATCAGACTAATTAAGTCTTTGTCTAGTCGCTCGTTAGACATAACCTCTCTCTAGTCTCACAGTAGACTAAGTCTGTGTCAAGTCACTCGTTAGACTTAACCTCTCTCTAGTCTCACAGTAGACTAAGTCTGTGTCTAGTCGCTCGTTAGACGTAACCTCTCTCTAGTCTCACAGTAGACTAAGTCTGTGCTTAGTCGCTCGTTAGACTTAACCTCTCTCTAGTCTCACAGTAGACTCAGTCTGTGTCTAGTCGCTCGTTAAACTTAACCTCTCTCTAGTCTCACAGCAGACTAAGTCTGTGTCTAGTCGCTCGTTAGACTTAACCTCTCTCTAGTCTCACAGTAGACTAAGTCTGTGTCTAGTCGCTCGTTAAACTTAACCTCTCTCTAGTCTCACAGCAGACTAAGTCTGTGTCTAGTCGCTCGTTAGACTTAACTTCCCTCTAGTCTCACAGTAGACTAAGTCTGTGTCTAGTCGCTCATTAGACTTAACCTCTCTCTAGTCTCACAGTAGACTAAGCCATTGTCTGGACTCATGTTAATCAAGCTGCAGTTTAGTCTAACATTACTAAGATGAGAGGGAGAAATAGATAGAAGAGCTTCTAGATGAGTTCATGCTTCCAGTAATAGCACCACTGATGAAGGATGCCAAGTTTTCTACAACAAACTCAAACTACCTGTATGTACAGGGAAATTAGTATTTTGAAAAAAGAGAATGTAATAAAACAAAATGTGTGAGAAGATTTTTTTTATTTATTCCTTATAAAAAATGTCCTGAATCTTACCAGAAGACACAAGATTCGATAAGTCGTAACAACGCAAAATTATTAGATTTGACCCCAAAAAAATTGTTGTCATGCAATATCACACACCCTCCCCCCAACAGAATTTGCCAATGTCTGGTGACATATCAGACAAAATCTTTTGTCTAGCCTCTCTTTAGATCTTTTAAGACATAACCTGTGTCTGGTCACACAGTAGATCAAGTCACTCTCTGGACTCAGGTTGATCTAAGCCAATGTAAGTCTCAATCTTACAGATTACAATACAATTGATCCCTGTAACCTTGAAGGCGAATTACAGATCAAATACTATCATTCAAAGTAAAGCTGGACCACTGGCAAATGACAGGCGGAGTAAGTCAGGCAATTTATCCTCAATATGCTTACAGATACTTCGTGCCAGGTGAACTAACACTAAACAAGAAAACCCTGTCATCAATTTCTATCACTTGCAGTGCAAAATTCATTAAAACATGAAGCGTAAAACATAGGTCCAAATCAGCATCCACAATATGCATTCAGAAGAGCAACCCTAGATAACCCTGTCACCCCTATGTAACTTTAGTAGACTCTACCATGTATTGATCTGGATGAGTCCATTTTGGTCTACAGTGGTAAAAGGGATAAACAATTGATGAAAGTATAATCAACATAGCACTTGTAGTAGGTAAGATATAGATGAAAGTAATTCTTCTCAACCAGGTGCACAGACAAACCGCATTTCTATATCCCCCGCCAACTAATTGAGCGGGAGATTATATAATAAGATAGAATTTTAAATGAATTGTGTCATACCTGCAACGGGTTTTCAGTGAGGATAGCTCTTCGTACTTCACTGCTTGCTGTGTCAAATTTAGAGATGAAAGAGAAGTCTTCAGATGAGATCATCTGTCCCCTTGAAACAAAAATGTTTGGAGTTTATCTTTTTCTTCTTAATTTAAGATTTGCCAGGAAAATTATCTTTGTTTCTAATATTAACAATATTTATAAGACGTTTGTGTCTGCTTTACTGGAATTGGCCAAAACCAAGATAAGAGTTGTGTTTTTTCTTTGCGACGTTAGTCTACAACTCCTTAGGCCCAAACAAATGCTTGTTTCAGATAAAATGCCTAAAAAAAAAATTAGGCTTGGTTGGTAGGCAAATAATTTTATTTCAATGTTACTTTTTTTTATTTTCATGAATTAAAATTATGCTTTATTTCAAATTTTCAAATGCATTTCCACACATTTGATTGGCTATTGCTTTGTCAAGAATAAGGCCAGACTTCCATAACAGGAAGAAAGTACATTTTAATGAGTGGCTGTGAACTATGTCTGGCTAATGAATTAATCTTAGATTGTTAAGGAGGTTGAAATAGCCAAAATTCAAACTGCAACGGAAATTTCTGGCATTCTGTATTATAATTCAAAACATTTTTTTTTTTTATCAAATTTAGGTGACTACATGATGTAATTATAAGGTAAACATACTGTAGATAGGACTGCCAGTTGACACGATTTGCGCGGACATCATTGGCCCTCTGCTGCAGCAAACTAGTCGCTACCTGTGCACCTACAAATACAACAGGAAAATAATTTTACTTTTGAACATCAATAAATGTTTGATATGATTGGAAGTGTCATAAAACCAGGGAAATGCACAGGGACATGTCATCTGCTGTATAACCAAAGATACATATAAATGGGCATCACAGTACAGCATATATATAAATTACACTCACTTATATATCTTGTTATTTAGCATGTGATATGTCCCTGTGGGAAACTATTTAAAGGGTGGCCGGGTGGTGCGTCAATGGATATCGCACTCGCCTTTCACCAAGAATGCTGAGGTTCGATTCCGCTCGACCACATGGATTATCTCTGGGTACTCTGGTTTCATCCCACACTAATACCCAAGCACGATACCATCCGGTCCAACAAGAGTTATCAAATAAATATAAGTTGTAATAACTGTTTCACAATTGATGTACAAGAAATAAAGTTTAAATTCTTATAACAAATGGTCCAAACCAGAAAACAGTCCAACAACCCTTGTCCCTCATCACCGATACTTTTATATAGAGTACCATGTAACATCTTTCACAACTTAAGTTCATGTCTCACATTGACAAACTATATAAATGAAGCTACACGAAATTCCTTGTATACAGGGGGCTGCGGTGGCCAAGTTGTTTAAAGGCGTCTAACATTCTGCGACCACAAGTCCTCTACCACTGGGTCGCGGGTTCGAGGCCTACGTGGGGCAGTTGCTACAATGTAGGTACTGGCCATAGGTCAGTGGTTTTTCTCCGGGAATTCTGGCTTTTCTCCACCACCAAAACCTGGCACGTCCTTAAATGACCATAGCTGTTAATAGGACGTAAAACACACACAAACCAAACCAAAACCCTTGCATACAACTGAACCAGGTTGTAAATACAATGTTTATCAATGGGAACCCCCAGTGATTGTATTTCTACATTTGTTTGTCAAGTAATATTAGATGAACATATATAGACACACACATATGACTACACCTGTAAATTTATCGACTTTTGACTTGCGAGTTATCTATGTCAACACAATTTTTAAACGATGTCAACATAATCTGAGAAGATGTCAACATTATCTATGAATATCTCGCAATAAAGTGTAAATTATGTTGACATATTTTTACATTTTCCGAGATAATTATCATGTAAGTCGGTAACTCGGTTTTTTATCACGTTAATGCTCAGAAGGGTCATNAAATCGTTCTTATATCTATTATTATATGCTATTTTGGAAAACGATTGAATGATGAAAACCATCTTATTGAAAACTTTCAAGATTCAGAGGAGTGCAGGTTTAAAGGGTGTATTTTTAAACTGTGCCACTGACTAAAACGAGATAGAGGTGACTATCTATCCGGGTTACATCGTAATTAATCCAATAGCAAGTTAGACGTTCTTACAATGTCACTGAAAAATACAATCAAAATTTTAAAAAAATAAGAAATACAAACAGAAATTTGCCACAAAACAGCTCTTAAATATGAAAAACAAAATCCACTTAATAATGAACAGCAACTATAGATTGTCAAGAATGACAAAACGTTATCTGTCAATTCAACTCATCATCAGATTCAAAAAATAAAAGATAAAATTGAATAATACACGGGAACAAACGAAAACCTCTCCCAACCATTTATCATACATTTTTCACGGGGTTTTTTGGAACAAATTTGAAATACTCGCAGGAATAATCTGATAAAATTTTTTAAAAAAATTGGGTTTGACCTTTAGTCTGTAGATAGTGTGACGTCATAGCATTTTCCATGCATGTCTCTGTATCTCCTGTCATGTTAATCCTGTGGCAATGCGCAGGTTCTGAATTACTGCGATGGAAAAATCGTAGTTTTGAGTCGGTTGTCTGCCCTTCTGTTCCGTTGGAATCGTTAACAACGTAGGTATTTGATCTTCTCATGATTGGCGTCAAAATAATCCAAGCTAATTACGCAAATACATGTACTCAAAAAAAAACGCACTATAATTTTTTTCTAAGTAATTCAATGATTTTGTAACCGAATCCTACTCAAATCACACCTTCTTTGACAGGAATATATTTTAAAATGTTCTTCCATGGGTTCGAAAAATATAGCGGTAAAACATCGGTGATTATTCAAAGCGAAAATAATTTATTCATAATATTCCTCTTGGTCCAACATATGAAATTCCAGTAGGTCTTGCTGGTATAGTGGAAGATAACACTGCAGACTAATAGGTGTCGGAAAGAGATGATCTTTCTTTCTATGTAGATAAAGGCTTAGATTTCCATATCGAAGGCATATTTGTCACCATGATGGATGCTGATGATGCGAGAAGCTGACGATCCGTCCTGCTAATAGTGTCATCCGCTGATGGTTCTCCTTATCTTATCACTTAAAGTATACCGGGGTAAACATACACACAGGTGTATAAGTAGATGTACCAGCAAATTTGTGTCATTCCATATAAACACAGGTGAGTACACCCTGGATGACTTCTAGAACACCTGGGGCATTTTGCATAGCAATAATGTATCACCTTTTAGCCCTAAACTGACCATTACTGTATATAGTATGTAATATATATACAGTAATGGTCGGTTTAGGGCTATTACGTAATATATGTATTTGATATATGTTCAGTGATATATGTTCCAAAGAGTATTGTTTATTCCTTCTAAATTTGCAATTTTAAGTCAGAAAAAAATTAAACAGACATAAATCCTTCACATCAACTTATATGTAAAAATAATAAAATCAATATGTATATTCATGTAAAGTTGAAAAACAGGCAGAAATTGTTCTTATCAATTTATAGGTAAAAATGATAAAATCAATAAAAATAAATGTTCATGTAAAGTTGAAAAACAGGTAAAAACCCTTCATGTCAATTTATAAGTGAAAAAAAGTAAAACCAATAGAAAACAATTTTCATGCAAAATTGACTCAATAATGAGCAATAAAATCAATTTCACATGAAAAAAAAAGACATTAATTTCAGTTTTTTCTTGATTTCACATAATAATTCACCTTGAAATTGACATGAACATTTTTACCTCAATCCAAAAACAAATCGGTTAAAATTGACCACAGGACCTGAAAAAACAAATTAAAAGATATATGTTTGGACCTTTCCTGATGTGTATACATGTATATAAGGATTAATATTTGCCGTTTTAGAGGTTAAGATCAATGCTCGGGGAAATGCCACCCCAATACTAGACGAATGGATAGCACTTGATGTTTAAACTGAAACAGTGACCCCATCTATAAAATTGAATATGAAAAATATCTGAAAGAATAAATCACATTTCTGATAAGTTAACAAATTAAAAGATGCTTGGTTTTATTGACAAGATGGATTTTTTTTAGCTAATTTGGGTACATACCTAGATGGTATACCTATTTCCTAATAAATACCTTACAACAACATATTTAACCAGGAACTAGAGTTGTATCTTAGGAATATATATCCAGGAAGTTCCATATTAATTATTTCATGTACATCGCTTTCTCAATTTGCTCTGGGCAATGTGTTGACCGACACATATATATCTACCACCTATGTGATATGATCACCCGCTATACAAATACGGGATGTATAGGTATATATACATATCTATTGACACCTGTGAAATGTGAAATATGATGCTTTACCAGTATGTATGAAAACATACAATTCCTAGATAACATCTTCAGGAACACCTATTTTCAATTTGTGATTGATTGGATTTTAATAATAATGCAACCATACACTAAAGTTGTTTAGTTTTCAATATTCAACACCTACAGCAGAGCTGATGACACGACAGGGAACACATCTTTTCCAAAACTAAAAGGTAACATATCAAAATTATCTCTTCATCTTCTTTTTTTTCTTTTTCATTACCGTAAAAACCCATGTAACTTGCGCACCTGTGTAATTTGCGCAGGTACTTTTTGAGGCTGAAAATCTGGAAAAAAAGCTTCTACTCAAATATTTTGCGCACCCAAAAAATCTGGAAAAAAAACGATGTTCATGCTCTGAAAATCGATCTCTGAATAATTTTTTTTAAATATATTTCAATGATATTTTTTTTATTGATGTAAAATGATATTTAAAACCAAGAAGAAACTACATAAAATGTGTATTTTGTTGCTTGTTTTCTTTGGTACATATTCAGCAAAGGTATGTATCTTTAGTTAGTAAAATTGTTTAAATCTAAATGAAATTGATAGGAAAATTAACATAATTATTTGCATAAAAAAAATCAGTTGAGTATTGATGGAATAATTTGGAAAACGTTGAATAGAAAGATTATGATTTGCCTTTTTGGCATGCAGAAATATACATGAATGAAAACCTACTTCACTATGTAAATTACATTTCAAAGTTATATTTAAGATGAGTAAATTTTGACTGTTTTAATATAACCTATTCATACGCATTTTTTTTCTTTGCTCTAATGATAACATTTTTTTTTAAATGCTTTTAATTGAATAATAATTAACGCATTCACCCCTGAAATTTCATAATGACCTTTTTCAACCTTTGAATTGGAAGAGTTCAAATGTGTCTTCAGGGTTGAAGGAGTCAAAAGGCTGATATCTCACATACTGTCAGACAGGAGATAATTTCATGACTTGTACTGGAGGAAACAAATATGTGAGCAGTAAAACCTTGATATAATACCTGTCCTTTTATTTGGGTACGATAGACTTGATTGAAATTTAATGATTGTTCATCATTATCTTTCACTGAATTAATGGTTGATTCATAATAGTTTTAAAGATTGATTATACATTGTAGAATCGGCTCCATGCTGTTCTTTTGAGTTATTTACAAGACCCCAGTTGTGAAGTATGAGTATAAGTAAAATTGTGTCAATGACAACACAGCAGCTGAAAATAAATATCAGGATACTTAATTCTTCTACTTCATTCTTTTTGGTATTTAGCTTATTTTTGGTAATATGCGACTTATTTATATCTACCTTCATGTACTAAAAAATAGTCCGTCTCATTTTATAGTAATATCTGCCTTTTTTTAACGGCGTATTATACTTTTTTTTAGATTTTTATACTCTGTGATATATGTCAAGGATTGAATTAAGAAACCTTTTATTATAATAGATCTATTCTTATTCTCAGTCTCAATACAAAATATTCTTTTTATTTCCAGGCTGCATTGTGATCTTAATTGTATGTTTAATTCTAAATTTTGATATCTTGTAATAATATGCCTATTTTACCTGAATAAATATTATTATTATTATGGAGAAAGGCTTGAAATCACGAATCACTCTACTGAAAACTCCATAATATCTACGTACCCAATCATTCGAAAAACATCAACCAAGAATTCGGAGTCAATTAGTTGATTTAGCGTTTCATTTAATTAACCAATAGTCAACAAGATTGATTAATCAGAATACCACTAGCTAGATTAGGGAATGAACACATTTATCTATCAAATTGAGCAAGTCTTTTGTTACGGCCAGGGGGGAAATTGGGCTTGAAGTCAGTAAGTCATCAGTAAGCAAGGACCTCTGCTTATCTTTGACATTAATTTTACATGACATGTATTTCTACCTATTTACTTTACATGAATAAGTTAAGTTAGTAGGAGTAGAAAATGCACAGCCAGCTCATGGATCGAAACCAAGACCCTCCAAACTCTAGACGAAACTCTATCAATTGAGCAACCTGGTCACCGATGATCCAACCAGTCTAGTTCTGCTACATTCCTCCCTCCTTTAACAAAGCCTTCGACCTCGAGGATAAACATGTCTCTATACCACCTTCATTGGGTTTTTTTCATTGGGGGCCAATTGTAGTAGGTGAGGAAAAAAGCACAGCAAGTCTTGGATTTGAACCTGAGACTTTCCAAACTCCAGATGAACGCTCTTCCAATTGAGCTACCTGCATGTTCGCTGACGATTGACCCAGTCTAGTTCCGCTACATAAGTTACTATTACAAGTTATTTTATGGATGCAGGCACTAATTTCCGTATTGAAAATTTACTACTGCCTATGCCCAAAAAATATACAATTGAGATAGAATCTTTTTGCAACTGGAAAAAAGAGTAGCATTGGGGATCAAACCCAAACAACCCCCAGCTTCCCGGTCTGTGATTCTACCAAATGTGCTGAAGTTATTTTCCCTCTAATGCGAAGCTGGAAGACAATCTTAAACCTATAACTGAAACCTGCCACACTATTCCCCCTTTTTGAACACCTTCTCTTGATCGCCACAATAACCAAGGTTCTATCCCTCCTTGTCACTACAGAGAAAGCCACAGCCACCATTTGTAACAGGTGTAATATAGGAGCAGGAAAATGCAAGGCCAGACTTGGATTTGAGCTACCTAATCACCAAATCTTAGCTATAAACCCAACATATCTACTCACACCCGTAGACCCTCGATCCAGACATGCACACCCTTACGCATACACACACCTTTGAAGCCCTCATCACATGCTAAAACATATGCCAGCTTTTACCTTTTATCTATACCCTGCACTAATACAAAATAAAACTAATCACTGTAAATAACGCTTTTTTTACACCTCTGTGATAGGACCCCCGAGGGCATATAATCGTCAACACATTGATGGAGCTCAGCTCCTGCACCCTAAAGAAGAAGAAGTCCAAGCGACGGCACTACCTTTATCACTATTCCTCGTCCTACTACACCTATGTATAATTAAAACCTGCCTCACTTATTTGGCATTTCGATTTTAAATTTCCATAGTCTGTTGCTGCACTGCCCCCTCCAAATGTTATGCATAACGAAAGACCAGACTTTATATGTACGTGTGTGTTCAGACATTTTTGGCTATAATTCACAATAAAACAAATACGTATACAGTCATGAGTATACGCATGAGTCAAACCCAAAATGTGACAGCACCGGCAAGATTCTGGAATCGACCTACAATATAACTGGTAGCCACAGCAACTAACATCGTCCCTTTACCTTTCTCAATGTCGTCTATATTCCCCATTACACTTCCGATACTCCCGAGGGAAGCCATCGTTGTTTTGATAGGTTTTGTTTCAGTTGAAGGTCAGAATTCTTCGGTTTCTAGCCTAACTATCGACGTCTTCCAACTTATCATATGATGAACTACGTCACTGAAGTTTGATAACAATTTATTGTGCTTCTGCTTCGCAAAAATCGTTCAAGTGATGCAGATTTTTAATTCCTGTGTTGTCGGGATTTTACATCCAGAACGTTGATAATATCCAAGGTATTCCGACAGTTTGCTGATATCAGAAAAGAGTAGTTGATAAGATATGTGGATATTCATCATATTTATTTATGCATTTTAGATATTAAATACAATAAAATTTCATATTGCCAATACAATTTATATGAAAATGAGTGTTCATTATTTTAGAATATCGCCATTTACAGGCTAACGGTGGTTATTGGATTTATGTAAGCTTTATCGACTATATATTCCTTTCTACTTCCGTTTCTCGTGTGTATGCATGCTGTAAATATTGAAGGGTAAACTGTTATGAAACTCACAGTATATAAATCAGAATCACTCATCGTAAAATATCATATACAACATTTGAAAATGAGAAAACCATTGACATGAATAACGTTCAAAATTAATGGAGACAATTACGTAACTGACGTGTTGAAAGGCGGTGATTAAACCGAAGACATGCCGAGTGTTGAGAACGGTAGGAACAGTCACCTGAGGGGAGCCGGCTTATTTCATCATATGAAATGGGAACATCTTCTTGCTGGTGTTAGCGGCGGAGTCATAGCCACTCTAATCCTTCACCCTCTAGATCTTGTGAAAATCCGATTCCAAGGTACTCTTACAATTTTTATATTAATGGAACGAAGACACCCTTTCTTCTTCTTCACAATCATTAGTCCGCTAAAACTGACCATAATCGCAGGCTAAAAAATTCTGATCGGTCGCCTGTTTATGATAAACAGGCGACAGATCAGATTTTTTTAGCCTGCGATTATGGTCAGTTTTAGCGGACTACACAATCATGTGCATCATTCATAAGAATATTGTCGCACAGTTTGCGCATAGAGTCGATGTACAATTAAAACGAGTTAAAAACAGATCTATCATCTTCTGTCTAGTTGAGGGTGGATGTCAGCTGGATCTTGCTGATGCTGTGGCGGAAGGCATCAACAGATGTTGCAGTCACAACTGACGATGGTAGTTGATTATAACCCTTCGCACGTTGTCACTCGCATTCACCCACTGAAATTTAGGGTTTCAGGTCGTTTGGCCCTAAATCTTGTCCGCCTCAGGTCGTTTGGCCCCATGATTTTTTTTAGACATGAAATTTGTATTTCATTGACCTTCCTTATAGTCTTTTTTGTCATTCAGTAGTGATGGGCAATCGGTTTGAAATCATAATCGATAATCAGTTTGTAATCAAAAGTATACGTAGTACACCAATCATTGATCGATTGCATAATTCGATTATAATTTTACGGAACTGAATACCCAAATAAATTGAGAACACTACTAGTATTACATCAATAGTTGCTAAAGAAAAATATGGTATTTTAACAACTTTTGCAAAAGGATATTTTGATTTTGACTTAATTAAGTAATGATCTGTTTTCAGTTCATGAGGGTGCAGTGGCCACAGTGTCAAGACCAAAATACAAAGGAATCTTGGATGCTTTTCTACAGATTGCTCGTAAAGATGGAGTCACCGGAATATACAGAGGAGTTGTGCCCAATGTTTGGGGCGCTGGCATATCCTGGGGGTTCTACTTCCTGTTGTAAGTACATTTACATGTATTGTGAACTGTGTAGGCAAAATTCTGTTGTTATTTATAATTAATATCAAATTTTCCTTAGGTCTAACTAGTCAAAACATGATTTTATCAACCTGTGAAAATTGTAAATAAAATTGATATTGGGCATAAATATGCTGTCAACAACAGATTCCTGTTGATTGGAAAAAAAATAAGAGTTATTCATAATATATATATTCTTGTTGAAAAATGGTGTAATTAAAAAAGAAATGCAACACATTTATCTATAGAATAATGACACTTCTTTGTTTTTTAAACTGTACCAGTGCCATAATGTTTCTATGCTTAGATACAGGATGAAGGATGAGACCTATTAAAACAATACACAAGACAGTTAATACCATGGTACAGTAATTAGCACCCCTCCTCATATTTCGAGACGAGTTGAAACTAAATAGACCCCATCCCTCTCCAGTTCCAAGTCCTGACCAGGCACAGTCAATGACTTATGGTACTTACTCTTTAAAGCACAGATTTAAGTCTGGTGATCATGGCTGGAGAACCGGTTTATTGGATGAAACATTTATATCCACACCTCAAGCCACACCGAAATGTTTATTATGTCCTTCAATGATCACAAGTTTTGAAATTGCACAACTTTTTTTATATCGTCACTTACATTTGATTACACAAATTATGACACACACCCCCCCCCACACACACACACACACACACACAACTTTAAGCTATTGTTTAGTACTCTGGACGCTAATTTTGACAATTATGGTATATGTTATGGGAAATTCTAGGAACATTTCTCTAGTGATAGATCTATAGTTGGTCTTTTGGTTGGTATATCACGATTAATTTTCGTATGTTTCAGCTATAACAGCATCAAGACTTGGATGCAGGACGGAGATACTCAGATGAACCTGGGTCCAGTAAAACACATGCTGGCAGCCTCCGAAGCAGGTACGTATTAATTAATAGAGTCAGTCATATATAAGTATGTGGATATGGATATTCTACCTGAGGATGTAGAATATGGATATATATGGATGCTCTTTACCCAAGGGTGTAGTATGTGGGTATACAATATATATGGATACTCTACCCAAGGGTGTAGAATGTGGATATATATGGATACTTTACCAGAGGATGTAGAATATGGATATATATGGATACTCTACCCAAGGGTGTAGAATGTGGATATATATATGGATACTCTACCAGAGGATGTAGAATGTGGATATATATGGATACTCTACCCAAGGATGTAGAATGTGGATATATATGGATACTCTACCCAAGGGTGTAGAATGTGGATATATATGGATACTCTACCCAAGGGTGTAGAATGTGGATATATATGGATACTCTACCCAAGGGTGTAGAATGTGGATATATATGGATACTCTACCCAAGGGTGTAGAATGTGGATATATATGGATACTCTACCCAAGGGTGTAGAATGTGGATATATATGGATACTCTACCCAAGGGTGTAGAATGTGGATATATATGGATACTCTACCCAAGGGTGTAGAATGTGGATATATATGGATACTCTACCCAAGGGTGTAGAATGTGGATATATATGGATACTCTACCCAAGGGTGTAGAATGTGGATATATATGGATACTCTACCCAAGGGTGTAGAATGTGGATATATATGGATACTCTACCCAAGGGTGTAGAATGTGGATATATATGGATACTCTACCCAAGGGTGTAGAATGTGGATATATATGGATACTCTACCCAAGGGTGTAGAATGTGGATATATATGGATACTCTACCCAAGGGTGTAGAATGTGGATATATATGGATACTCTACCCAAGGGTGTAGAATGTGGATATATATGGATACTCTACCCAAGGGTGTAGAATGTGGATATATATGGATACTCTACCCAAGGGTGTAGAATGTGGATATATATGGATACTCTACCCAAGGGTGTAGAATGTGGATATATATGGATACTCTACCCAAGGGTGTAGAATGTGGATATATATGGATACTCTACCCAAGGGTGTAGAATGTGGATATATATGGATACTCTACCCAAGGGTGTAGAATGTGGATATATATGGATACTCTACCCAAGGGTGTAGAATGTGGATATATATGGATACTCTACCCAAGGGTGTAGAATGTGGATATATATGGATACTCTACCCAAGGGTGTAGAATGTGGATATATATGGATACTCTACCCATGGTTGTAGAATTTGTACCTGAATCAAGATTTTGCCAATGTTCGGACACCAAATTCTGCACCCGAGGATAAAACATCCATATCCCACACGCCTTTATAATGATGGACCCTTTTTCTCCTCTCTAACTAAAACTTTGGTAAATCATGACTTAGAGAATGCAAATGCAACACTAAGTATGTAGAAAAGTTTATAAATTTCACTCAAATTTACAAATCGTCTCAATTTTGTGAAAATACTGCAAAATTTCCCTATACAAGTCCATGTAGAAAAATTACTGTTTGATGATGCCATATAGAGACAATTTCATGATTCTTTTTGTTCATCGTTAATAATCGTCCTATTAATGGTTGTGAGGAATTGTGTAAAAAAATAAACCAGTGGTTTGTAAGTATTGTGATTTACTAGTTTTCCTATGTATTGTGTCGGCCCTCATACAGTAAAACCTCAATATAATGCCTCTCGTTTCATTTGCCAATTGCCACCTCTTTTACCGCCAACATGATTCAATGGCCCGTTTTCTTGAAGAATTTCTATATATTTTTCCCTCAATTGATCACCAAACCTCTTATAACGCCAAAGTTTCTGGACAAATGTTGGCAGTATAACAAGGTTTTACTGTAGTGTATGTGATAAAATGGTTTTATAGATTGATTTCTATTAACAGGACTACTGACCCTCATCCTAACAAATCCTATTTGGGTCGTGAAGACTAGAATGTGCCTACAGTACGAAACCCCGGCGACATCCAGCAAGATGTATAAAGGAATGTTCGATGCTCTCTACAGGATATTTAATGCCGAGGGATTCCGAGGCCTCTATAGGGTATGTATGCAGAGGTTTGTGTATTCTAGTTGAAGTTTGATCACAGCTAGAGTTAATATGGGGCAATAGGTTTAAATGAAAATCAGTGATCAGGAAGATGGATGAATACTGTTATACAGTATGTATGACCAGATACTACAGAATCAATATCTGGGCCCGTATTCATGAAACCATTCTCATGCTCAAGCATGGATTCTGTGCTCAAAAGTTATAACCAGAACAAAAATATGGCTTAAGCGCAAAGTCCATACTTGAGCATGAGAATGGTTTCATGAATACGGGCCCTGGTCATGACTCACTTGATACTCCAGGGGTAATGCTCACTTTCACTCTCAGCAACCCTCTTATATGTTATAGCAAAATATAGAAGGCACACAGCTAGCTATTTAATTGGTCTCAGGTAAAAACACCTGTCACCAATTGCTAGGCTGGTATGAATCGTTTTAACGTTACAAATTGACTCTTCAAAGCCAGTCAATTTTTCCATTATGCAACCAACAGATTCATTTCATGTACATCAAAGGATCAAACTTCTTGTCTCATCAACAAGGTGCTGCACACTGAGCCTTCAATTTTGTCATGCCATATTCCAGGGATGCAGTGAGCGAAAGTGAGCGTAACCCCAGAGTACCCAAGATAGTATGAGACTTTCAGAGATAGCCAGATATGATATAGATCTGTTTTCGATAACTGTCCTATTCATTCTTTTTGATTAATTTATGATTTCTTTATTAATTTTAAGGGGTTTTTACCCGGAGTGTTTGGAATATCACACGGTGCTGTACAATTCATGGCTTACGAAGAGATGAAGTCCCGCTACAATATCCACAAAGATCGTCCTGTTGACTACCGACTGGTGAGTAATAGTACATCTCTGATTACTTGTCACATCTATCGTAATTTCCTGCATACTATCTGGGGGATAACCCACAGGAACTAAAATATACATTGGAACCCACTTATTATGATATCAGTTATTATGATAAACCGCTTATTGTAATAATTTTCCCATGTCCTGATTTATTCCTTCTTTGACTCATTCACCCCTGAAAACCTGTTTGAATTCCTCCAATTCAAATGTTAGAATGGTTCATTATTAAATTTCAGGGGTGCCTGAGAATGAGTTAACTAGTTTTAAAAAACAAATAGTTTATTATGATATAAGGTAAAATCTCAGGTAATTTGTCCGTAAAAATATTACCAAATTGCCTGTTCAGTCAGATTGCTCGCATTTAATATGTGGAATTGGCTCATATAATGAAGGGTTGGTATATATGTAACATTCTATTTACGCGGTCATGCCAAATACCTTTGAAGACAGTACAGTGCCTTATATGAATAACTAATATTTTGTCTTGGCGTTCAATTTTTGGATGGATTTTGAGTTGATTTTAGTGATATTGTATAATACTATTTTTGTTTTCTTATTTGCATCCATTTAGCATTTATGTGTAATTAAGGAAAAACATTAAAGACATGGCCCACAATTTTATAAAAATTAAACAGTATTTTACCATATTTTGTTTTATTTATATTATATTTAGTAAATTCCTGTATTTTATTCACCCCTGAAATTTCATAATGAACTGTTCCAACCTTTTAATTGGAAGAGTTTAAATGTGTTTTCAGGGGTGTATGAGTTAGCTAGGCATGCTTTTCCTTTACATATAGACTCTTTTTAGTTAACAGAAATTTGTACATTGATCTGTTTTTAGAAATCACTGGACTACATTGTGTTTGCGGCCTTGTCCAAAATAATAGCGGCAAGCACCACCTATCCGTATCAGGTGATACGAGCCAGACTTCAAGACCAGCATAGACACTATGCTGGAAACATTGACATCATCCGGCAGATATTCCGGTAAGTTTACTGCTATCCAACAGCATGTTTAATTTCTCAGGGCTTTTCCAGAAATAAATACTGTATATTGGGTAATTTTCATGGCAGTATTTTTGCACCTTTTTTCGGTAAGATTCAAATGTGAAATCAACAAAGTAGCGAAAAAAATCCAGCTGCTCTAGTTCAAGACTACAGATATAGCGTGTCAGTTTAAAATTTTGGAGCACTGTTGCTCGGCCAAATACCCACTGGGAGTAAAGGATAGGCCTACAAAGTCATGCACGATCTGAGTAGTTGGATAAATATGCTCGAGTCATTTTTGGGGCATTTTTAAATCAAATTAGCAGACAATTTTTTCCGTGAACTCTACATTGATTGTGCATATATGAATTTCCTGATGAAAATAACACTTTGTCAATTCAAAAACTACATTCAGTATATAGTGTTTTGGGGGATGGGAGGGGGATGGGGGGCAGGGCGAATGTATCACGACAGTGAAAACAAGTACACAACAACATACTATACATTCCATGGTAGAAATAACGAGTGAAGAAAACAAAAGAACACTTCGCGGAAACAGATTATAGTGGAGGGCGAAAATATGACTGGGCAAAGTTTTCTGGCTTACAGTTATTTATTTAGAATTCGAACCCCCCTCCCCACACATGCACATTAAGTGTTTCCCTGCTTCCGCTGGATTGAATTGGTGTTGTATTTTACATGTTTTATATTATATTCTGTGTGCACGAATATCATCTGACAGTCATAATATCTGGCTTACCAAATATATATATATGGTTCATTTTTACATTGTACTCACAAAATGTATGGAAAGTCAAACATTCGTAACCTCTAACATGCCTTGATAATGAGTTTTAATACTGTCTGCAATAGAGTTCAAGGGAGAGTATTCTTGAATTACTGTACTACTATAATAAATAATGAACCCATCTTGTTTTAAATTTGATGTAAAGATGATTAGTTCATTTAAACTTCAGCATGCAGTTGTGCACTTTCCATTTCGTTAGTGTGATTGATATTATTTCCTATAGTTAATTACGTTTGCAGGGCTAGAAATTTGTTTTGAAATCCATTATTAAGTCGGCACTCTAGTAGTTTCCAATTTAACTAGTCCATCTGCTAATTCTACTACCGTATCCCATATTATTCTACGTAATAAATGATATCAAAGTTTGACAAGACAATCAGGCTAGCAGCTTTTAGAACGACTAGTGTAGCCGGAGATTTCACTGGGGCCTGTTCGTTTATGCAGAACAATCAGATTGTCCATTTTTAAATGTAACAACTTCGGATATAAAACCTGTCAGATCTGCAAATGTTCATGCAGGCCTTGCAAGGCTTTGTCAAGGCATGCCTAAAGCAGCATCAGATTACTATACTAGGCCCAAACGACTGTGGTATGACTGGTTCAACCGCTTAAATGAAAACGGCCCAGGTCTCAGACTAGCAGCCTTTTCTTATTGTCTAGCCCTGATCTGAGGCAAAGGATAATATATTAGTTAGCTTGCAGCTACAATTAATTTTCTTTGCAACTGATTGAACATCCATTGACGTTGTTTTTGCTTTTACATTTAGTTAAGTAACAGTTTATTTGTTTTGCTTGTTGTGCGGATGCCGACTGCCATTGATTTTGTTCTGTGCAGGTATGAGGGGGTTCGAGGCTATTACAAAGGTTTTGGTGTTTACCTTTTGCATGTGACACCCAACATATGCATCGTGTTCTTCCTCTACGAATATCTGTCCAACTTCAGTAAAAACAAACATGTAACTGACCCAGACCAGAAGAAGAGCAAGTGGAGTTGATAAACATTCAAAACCTAGTTTTCAAGATGTTTTATAAGGGAATCACTGCAATCAAAGGAATTCAAGTGATTGTTCAAAGCAGAAGAGTTTGAAAGACGATCGTTCAAAGTGAATCGCTGCAAGCAGAAGAGTTTAAGTGATCAAGATTGTTCAACTTTGTGAAACACTGGGATTTGTGCAGAGGAATTGCAAGAAAAAAATCGTTAAAAGCAAATCACTACAAGCAGAAGAGTTTAAGTGGTAAACAAATATTCAAAGCAGAAGAGTTTGAAAGACAATAATTATTCAAAATGAATCACTAGCTGCAAGTAGAAGAGCTTAAGTGATATTGTTCAACTTCGTTATTCACTCAGATTTAAGCAGAAGAGAGTTTGAAAGACAAAGATTGTTCACAGTAAACCATTGGAAGCAGAAGAGTTTAAGTGGTAAAAATGTTCAGGTAGAGGAGAGTGATAAAGATTTGTCAACTTGGTGAATCCCAGGGATATAGGCAGAAGAGTTTGAAAGAGAAGGATTGTTTAAAGTGAATTGTTGCAAGCAGAAAAGCTTAAGTGATAAAGATTGTTCATCTAAGTGAATCGCTGGGATTTAGGCAGAAGAGTTTGAAAGACAAAGATCATTCAAAGCAAATCACTACAAGCAGAAGAGTTTGAGTGATAAAGATTGTTGAATACAGAAGAGTTTGAGTGATAAAGATTGTTGAATACAGAAGAGTTTGAGTGACAAAAATTGTTCAAAGTTAATCAATGCAAGCAGATAGCTTACGTGATAAAGATTTTAAACTTAGTGATTTACTTGGATTTAAGCAAAAGAGTTTGAAAGACAAGGTTCTTTCGAAGCATAATTAGCTACCAAATCACTGCAAGTAGAAGAGATTGACTAATTAAAGATATCACAACATGGCAACAAAGCAAGATCATCACACTTTGCAGTTGCAGAATTCCGGATCTCTGTATAATTGTCATGTTCAGATTGACTGATGACTATTTTGCTAGTTTCATATCTGTGACCAAACCATATATTTGTATATGTCAAACCATGTAATGTGAGTCAAGTTCACTTCTCAGTTTAAAGGTTATATAAACAAACCTAGCATTCATACATGATATATCTAACGACTCACGAAAATTACTTCAGGAAAACTCCTCACAGCGTGAGACACATTTCTCACGAATTTTGATCGGTCTCACGAAAAGAAACAAAGTCTGGTCAATCTAAGTGAATAAACAATAGCTACATCAATTCACACTGAGGGGTCTAACGTCTCTGGACAGCCATGTCCACTTAAATTACAGGTCCATGATTTTCAGAAATTCATATATTATATTACTATGCAATTATGTCATGCATAGATAATTTCTTTTATTGTGCTTATTACCCTAAAATCTTGACAATAAGCTGCTGCTTATTTTCATTTTCAGTGAGGAATCATAGGCTTATTATCGAAGCAGGCTTATTTTCGAGGTCATTTACATACCAGCTAATATTATTGAAATACCTGGGTTTGTTTGACTTTATGGAATCCAAAGGCTTATTTTTCAAATCAGGCTTATTATAAATATGTTGGGATATTAGTATGTTTGCAAAAGTTTATGGCAAAACATTGTTACGAAACTGTAGTTATTTTTTTTGAAATATTTCATTTCCATTAGAAATTTTGAGTGTACCAGTTATTTAGATTTCGTGAATGGTTTGTTCAAATTTTATAAAAATGGTTGACATAATTAATTAGGATGAATTGTTTGTAAATTGTTACTAGTTTTAAATCAGTTTTTATAGTTAAACTTTAAAAAGCTAGTTAAGAATAATTATGAATCTCTTAAAAGAATTTAAGTGAGAACTTCTGAATTAGAAAACAACTGTATATAAATGTGTTTTATACATAATGTACATCGCAAGACAGCTTCGTTTCCAGTATTCATTACTTGTAAAACTGTAAGATGACTTTGTTCTTTGCATTGACTGGTTCATTTTGTTTTAATTTATTGGCAGATTTTTATTACCTTCCCCTTTCTGCCAAAAAAAATTCTTTTGTTCATGCAGAGTGCAGATAATTATTGGTGGAAGCTGAATTAGGGTTTCAGTTACTGTTTTCATTTTTCTAAAACGCTCCAACAATTTAGATCTAATCATTTTTGATGTCCATATATTTTTTTTAACTGTGTACTGTGAGCTTGAGCTTTTGCTATGTTTCCTATAAATATATCATAAACTTTTCTTTTGAAAGACTACTTGTCCAGAAAGGCTGAAGTAATTTTCACAAGATTTGTTATATGGATAAGTTCTTTTCTGATGCCTAAGCTATTTTGCCCTGCACAAGTGCATCAATTAATGCTTTTGTCACCCCAGTGTCATTGTTGTATCTTAGAATTTGATTTACATGTACACTCAATTTAGAAATGTGTCAATTTTAACTAGTAAAAGTTTGTATGTGTTAGACTATGATGCTGTACCTATAGTCTCCCATGTCTGTACAAGTCTCAACTGAATTTCTCATATATATACATATAGATCATGTTTATATGAAACATATCGGTTTCAAATATTAATGTAAATGTACTTCAGTAATTCCATTTATTATTTTTTATAAATCAGTATTTTTATAATATGTAAGATTGTGTTTGTTTCAGTAATTGACAATGATAAATTATTTTTATACTGTTGATATTTAACAGAATCGTTTTGTCACATTTGTCTGCGTTATTGAAATAAACATTGAAAAATATCTACCTTTTTATGTGTTTATTTCTAATGTGGAGGTTCAATTTGTTTTAATATAACGTACGTTTTATGACACACAAGTTATTGAGCAAATATATAAAACACACTTATTTCAGGCATGTTCTTGTAGCGAAACTGGACTGGATTGATTGCTGGCAGCCAGGTAGCTGACAATCGGTTTGAGCATCTGTACAGAGTTCAGAGGTCGTGGTTTTGAATCCCAATCTGGCCTTACGTTTTTACGTTATAATAGAAATACTAACACTCTTACCTGTACGTGTGTATTGTACATCAAACCAATGGACAATTATATAAATTGAAAACTCCCATCCATCATGTAATAGAGATCATTATTTCTTTTGCTCTACCAAATGAGCTATAGAGAAATTCTCTCTAGCTGAGGCAGTAGGAAGTGGCTAGTATTTTACCAAAGTTACAATCACAAGGAAAGTGTCTTTCAGAATCAAATACTATTTACAATAGTTTAAATTATTTGTGAGTGATTTAATTTTGCTTTATTAGTCCGCTACCGTTGAAACCTCTCCGTCCGTCTGTGTACGTACGTACGTAACACCAATGTTTGTCAGCGCTCTAGCGGCTTCATTCTTTGAGGGATTTGGATCAAACTTCACACAATTACAAAGGACAATATATCTCGGACAAGTTTGAGTTTCAGGGTTGTTGGTTCAAGGTCAAGGTTAATATTTTTAGAAAATCCTTGTCAGCACTCAAGCGGCTTCATTCTTTGAGGAATTTTGATCAAATTTCATACAATTACAAAGGACCATAATATCTTGGACAAGTTCGAGTTTCAGGGTTGACGTGTCAAGGTCACCGTTACTATTTTTAGAAAATCCTTGTCAGCGCTCTAGTTGCTTCATTCCTTGAGGGATTTTTTAACACCAAAGGCACCATTTTTATAGATCATTGCAGTGTAATAGCTAGCGGGGGCCGGTACGGGACATGTATTGCCTTAGCAATACTCAATATGCATGTTCATGATCATTTTTCTAAGTCATAGCCCCCATAGACAACTATTCACAACCCAGGTTCGGGGAGACCCTTGCCTAGCATACACCAAATGCTTGAAACAAGGGCTGGCTACGGGACCTCAGTAACAGGAGGGGGAAAATGTCGGCCAGACCGGGGTAAGAACCCAGAACCCTCCAACTCTAGACGGACACTCTACCAATTGAGCTACCTGGTCGCCAATGATCGATCGAGTCTAATTCCGCTACAACTGGAAATATCTCCATAAATCGTCACACATAAAATTTATATACATGTAGATATTTTATTTGTGAACTGTCAAATAACCAAGCCAACGTGCAGACTTCAACCAGTTGTTAGTGCTGTTGGAGTGTCAATATCATTATGACTTCAAACCCAATGTATTAAGTAAAACCAGCTCACATTCTGATCTACATGTTTTAATTGAAAGGTAAACAAAATTCATCTGTATCTTGGGCAGATCCGTGACTCTGTGTTTCATGTGTCATGTTTATCTAACTTACCTGTAGACCAGGGCAGTTTTCGTTTGTCATAACCCAAACTGTTTGACCGGCTGGTCCAGAGTTGTTCGTTTATGAAACAAGGTCGGCTGGAAATGCAACAAGATTATATCACAATTAAGTTAACTATATGCCTGATATTTTTCGCCTAGTCGGATACTGCAAATGTGGATATTTTCTCGTAATGTGACTCTTTAAACTAATCGGTGTGGAAATGTTCGTGTTGGTTCCGACGTTATTGTTCTATGATTCTATAAATAGATATATGATGAGTGTGGATGTTTTACTAAACATGATAAAAACGCAAGCACTTACAGTATACATCCTTGACCGACATAATCCATATTTGCTTAGGGTTGATTTACAGCTTGCAATTGTATGTTGTGTGCGAATATTCACCGCCTTCATTACAGCAGACGAAAACAGTAAAAGTTTAACTGCAGCAAATCTTTCTCAGTTTACAGTATCATGGAAAAGCACCAACACTTTTGAAGACACAAGAATTTTTATATTTCCCATAAACTCGCTACATGTAGGTTGTTGTTACAATCAAAAATGTTCCACTTTTTTTTTGTTTACAGGCACGAGGGATGGCGAGGGTTTTACAAGGGTTTGTTTCCCAGTCTACTGAGAGTGACACCAGCGTGCTGTATAACATTCGTTGTGTACGAGAACTTTATATCCCACTTTACAGAGCAGTCGAACAACGAAAGCTGATCAAAGCTATCATTTAGGTGTAAAAAAATATCAGGAGTTATCTTTCCTTGACCTGGAAAGATTTTTTTATCCTGGATATTTATATTTTGTATTTCCACTCATTCACCCCTGAAATTTCATTATAAATTATTCCAAACTTTGAATTGGAAGAGTTCAAATGTGTCTTCAGGGGTGAATGAATTAAACAATTAGGATGGAGTAAATATTCCTGGATGCCAAAATTTCTTGAGCTTCATCAGGATTGTCTCCCTTTGCTTCTGGAAATGTGATGAACCATAATGTTTTTTTACTCCAGAGTTGTCTGCCCTTGGAAAAAAATGTTAAAAGGGAAGCATTTCTTTTATGATCTCAGTTGGTATTTTTACAAACATTCTGTACACTCGTAGTGTAAATGAACATTCACATGTCCAGAAAATCAATTAGATTTTTATTGTTAAAATTGTTTGTTACAAAATGTACATGGTTTTTAATTTATGAGTGGAAAGGCATGAATTCCATATGTGTGGAAAGATGATATGCTCTTCTATAGTGTAGTTTGTTGTAAAAGCATGTACACATCATTCACAAGAATTATGGGTAAATATGTTCATCAAAATTATTGCAATATTTCTCCAGAGTTATTTTTCAAAATGGTACAAGGATGTTTCGGCAGACACGATGTCTTGTAGTATATCTGGTTACATACTTACATCTTGAGTTTGGTTTTTGATGGTATAAAGACGAAATGTAATTCATCCAGGTCGTTTTGCCTTGAATTCTGTTTAGCCCTAAATCAAGTTTGCCAAAGGAATGTTTTTAATGTTACAGTTTTCATGTTTATCACACAATTGTGTTGCTGGAAGAATTGTATGTAGGTGTAAATATGTGACACTGCATGTATGTGCAGATCGGGTCTACCACATACGACAAAAAAGACCAAAGGAGACTTAGGAAAACTTCAAATGAGACTGCACACGTATTCACCACACACACTTAACAGGACTAAAAACGTTGCACCTTCAAATATTTGAGGGCGAAACAACCTACACGAAATGACCAATGGCAAACAGGATTAAGGGCGAAACGACCAGACACCAATTGTAATCATGTTGTTTGTATGAGTGTTGATTGAAGGAGGGAGTGATCATGTTGGATTTTGAGGGAGTGATTATTGTTTGATTTAGGGAGTGATCATTGTTTGATGGAGGGAGTGATCATTGTTTGATTTCGGGAGTGATCATTGTTTGATGGAGGGAGTGATCATTGTATGATGAAGGGAGTGATCATTGTATGATGAAAGGAATGATCATTGTATGATGGAGCGAGTGGTCATTGTAGTGATCATTGTATGATGAAGGGAGTGATCATTGTATGATGAAAGGAATGATCATTGTATGATGAAAGGAGTGATCATTGTATGATGAAAGGAATGATCATTGTATGATGGAGGAAGTGATCATTGTATGATGGAGGGAGTGATCATTGTATGATGAAAGGAATTATCATTGTATGATGAAAGGAGTGATCATTGTATGATGGAGGGAGTGATCTTTGTTTGATGGAGGGAGTGATCATTGTTTGATGGAGGGCATCGTCGGATACCCACAGTTGATTTTGCTCTAGTACCGAAGCGAAATCAACCGTGGGTGTCCGCCGATGGATGGAGGGTGGGATAGAAAAAAATCTTTAAATCAATAATGATCATACAGAGAATGTTTGTACTGGCTGGTCTGAGATGATTACCACATGAATAATTTTAGTGTTTTGTATCCTGTTGTCAGAATTTACAAACACATTTGTGTCTCGCTGCTACAAAGTAACGGAAGCAAGACTAAGGTGTTCCTTTTCTGGCGAGGGTGGCGTCAACATTATTTTTTTGCAGCTAGCTTAGTTTCACTGAAAGTATAAGCGCTAGACCAACCAAACTTGGACCATAGATGCATCTTAGGTAGTACATCTCAACCCATGCATCAAATGCTGAATGCGGCCTACCTTTCATGGTCCATTGACTTTGTAGCATCTCCATCAACATGAAGTTTTTGCTTTTAAGGTTAGTTTCTCTGATATGTGCATTGATGGTTAAAGTGGGGCACAGGTGAGACAAATCAATCTGAATTGCTTGTTTTATGTTATGTTATACAAGTTTATCAATTATTATAAGTTATCGAATCATTTACATGTATTATAGACTACAGAAGAATGACATAAAACAGCGTGCAAGGTTATAGATCTATAAAGCATGCAAGTGTATTTTCTCAGTAACTCGGAAACTTATATGAATATAAACAGAAAATCGGAGGGCAATAGACCATTTCTCATGTCATTTGTCAGTGATTTTTCAAGATAAATTTAGGGCCATATAAATTAAAGCCCCTTCTCCTAGATACTTTCTGCTGTATTTTCCCGAAATCTATGCAAAAATCGCTGGATTATCCCGAAATCATACTCTTTGTGTGTGATATTTCCCCAAAATCACAAGGCACAAGTCAAAATGAGGTAGAAATCACTGTTTGTATTGACCTTGTACTGGGTACCTGGCACATCGCGTATCTGTGAGTTTATCTGTATCAGCCTTGTACTCCGGGTATCATAGCCGTATCAGATTTTATGTTTTAACATTTTTAATTGCTTGATCTTACATATATATATGATTTTAAAATCTGCATTTTATATATAGTTTCCTTTTTCTTCATAATACTCCTTGTGTAACCTCAAATAAGGTATTTCTTTATATTATTAATTTAATTCATTCACCCCTGAAA